TTACTTACTTACTTACTTACTTACTTACTTACTTACTTACTTACTTACTTACTTACTTACTTACTTACTTACTTAACTAGATCAGAACTCAGGCTAGGTCTTAGGATCTGCCAATATACATGCATGAATGACCAAATGAAGACATGATAAATTTTACGTACTAGCTTTTTGAGGGACCTCTGAAAGGTTAAATGAAAGAAAGAGAGGGGAGAAGAGAAAGAGGAAAGAGTAGAGATTGAGAAAGCAAGTGAGCAAGCAAGCTAGCTGGTTTGAAAATTCAATAAACAATATTACATACCAGTCTGAAATTTAGATGTATGCGGTAACATCTTACATACACTATTGTAATTCAAGTCTGTTACAATGTTAAATTTGAGGCAAGGAGAAGTAGAAATATGAGTAAAAAAGCCTAGGGTCAGGTGCTGGAGAGAATGTTTAGTCGTTAAGAGTGGCTGCTCTCCTGGGTTCTATTCTCAGCACCCAAATGGCAGCTTACAACCATCTGTAACTCCTGTTCCAGGGGATCCAATGCCCTCTTCTGGCCTTGGAGGGCAATAAACACACATGGCATACAGACACACATACAGGCAAAACACCTCTACATATAAAATAAAAATCAGGGATAAAATTTAAAAAGAAGGAGAAAGAGAAACAGAGAGGAGGAGTGTGTGTGTACGAGAGTAGTCTCGGGTCAAAAGAAAGGCCTTAGATGCTGGAGAGATGGCCCAGTAGATAAAAACTTATTGCTCTTGAAGAGGGAACAGGTTTAGTTTCCAGCACACACATGGCAACTACCAACTACATATAATGTCAGTTCCAGAGGACCCAACACCAAGAAAACCTCTTCTGGCTTCCTGAGGCACCAGGCACACACTTGATACCCCCGTGTACATGCAGGTTCTCACATATTCATAAAGTAAATCTTTAAAAAAGCCTTGAGATTGCTCTAATTAGCTCTGTGGGCCCTCTTCACTGTCATACAGGCTCCAATACTTACTATGTGCAATTATGCTCAGGCCCATAGAATCTGAAGTTCACAAACTACTTTATAGGGCTTCTCAAAATCCTTAATTTTAACCTTTTATGTGTATGTGTGCCTGCAGATGCCTACAGAGGCCAGAGAGAGCATCAGATCATATGGAGCTCCAGTTGCAGGTGGCTATATACCACTCAACATGACGCTAGCAATCAAACTGGGGTCCACTCCAAAAGCAGCAAGTGCTCTTAGACACCAAGCCATCTCTCCAGCCAAGAACCCCCAAACACTTAATTGATAACTTCTAGTTAGGTGTGGTGGTATATACCTTTAATCCCAGCCTGGTATAGAGAGAGCACTCATAGAAACATTCCACCTTTAAAAAAAAAAAAAAAAAAAAAAGGACTTGCACTAAAATACAGGAGTCACTTGCTAATCCTTTCTGGATCACCCAGTCTGCCTTATCTCCCCTGATTATGAGTTCACTGATTTCCCCTCAATGAAACTGTGCCCTTTGTTCAGTCAAATCAACTACCTTAAAAGCCTTAGAACACAGTCATATCCCAGATAGGGTTGGTAAGTAAATACCTACGAACTCCTCCCCCAAAAGACAAAAGTGGTAAATAGCATTGCCCCACAATGAAATAACTATCAAAATAGTAACTTGTTGAAGGAAATAGCAGGTTCCTTATTTTCAACTCTAAAAACCTAGAACAGAACTGTCAAACATAAATTTTTATAGAAACAAATGTGCTATGTAACTACAATGCCTAATACAGTAGCTATCGGCCACATGTATTTACTGAGTACTTGTGATGGGACTAGTGACTGATGAACTGAAAGTGGGGGTGTTCTAGTTTGGTTTTATGAGACAGGGTCTCATTATGTAGCCCTGGCTGTCCTAGTATTCACTATGTAGTTCAAACTAGCCTTGAACTCACAAGAGATCTGCCTCCCCAGTGCTGGGAATAAAAGTTGTGTGCCATCACACCTACTGAAACCATTTTCTTAGACAAGATTTTTCTGTAACAACCCTGATTGTTCTGGAACTCACTTTGTAGAACAGTCTGGCCTTAAATTCTCAGGGAGCCTGCCTCTGCCTCCCAAGTGCTGGAACTAAAGGCATGCACCACCAGGCCTGGTTTGAAGAACAATTTTCAGGGTATCACTATGCAGTTCCAATCTCAAACTTGAAAATCTCTTGCCTTTCTCCCAAATACTAGGATTAGAGGATTAGAGGTATGTACACTATACCAAGTTCATGTAACTACGTAAATTCAATAAAGGTAAAATTAAAAATTTAGTTGCTAGTAGTATACATCTATAATCCCTGCATTGAAGAGACTTGAGACAAAAAGATCAAGTTCTAGGCTAGTCTGAGAACCATAGAGCTCCATGCCAGAATGGGCTGCGAGGCTGCATTTTCCCAGGAGGAAGGGCAGGAGAATGAGAGCAGCAGCAGTAGCAGCCGCAGCAGCTGCTGTCGCCACTGCCGCTGTTGCTGTTGTTGCTGCTGCCACTGCCGCCAGGCATGGTAGCACATGGTAATCTCAGCCAGCCAAACCTAATCGGCGCATTACAGGCCAATCAGAGACCCTGTCTCAAAAACCAATGTGGACAGCATCCTGAGGAATGACACCCAAGGATGATCACTGGTCTCTCTACATGAATGTTCACACATGTACATGCAAAGTCACACAAAGAGATTCAAACCTACTTTAAAACTAAAACATTGGGGCTGGAGAGATGGCTCAGAGGTTAAGAATACTGGTTGCTCTTTCAAATGTCCTGAGTTCAATTTTCAGCAACCACATGGTAGCTCACAACCATCTATAATGAGATCTGGTGCCCTCTTCTGGTGTGCAGGTGTATGTACAGGCAGTATAGTGT